TTTATTTATATATTTTTTATATAAATATATATATATATATATATATATATATATATATATATATATATATATATATATGTTAATATGTACATGCATATTTATGTGCGTGGTTGTGTATGTGTGAAATAATTAAAAATACAATATACCATCACGAATATTCTCCTCATCTCAGCAATGCGCCTAAAATATAAACATTTCAAAAAAAGCCGTAGTGCGACTTCGACTTAGACTTACCGGCTAGCTAAACATGACGAAGATAAAGAAATACATCCAACTTTGATTTAAGATCATATATTTTTTTTATTGTGCTGTAATTCACCATTTGATCGCCTAAAACATGCTGCTAGACTATTCGAGTAAAAAAAATTTACACTGGTTTAATGCTAATGTTGTTTTATCTGATCGTGTCTTTCATAGGAGGTCTAAAGTTCAGAATAAAAATCCAGGGATGTCCTCTCACGATAAAAAGTACTCGCACACTTTTGTTTTATATCTGGGCCTAGATGCCCCTGGGTTTTTAACTTCTGTGATAGTTCAGAGCTTCGTGGATACTCTGTCTCTAGGGCATGAATTGTATTGATCAAAATTTATGGTGTTTTGTAGAAATCTTTGTTATAAAGTAAGTGGCTTATGAACCTTTCGAAGAAAAACAGCGCAAGATAACATTCGAAGAAAAACGGAGCAAAGGGCTCTATTGTTTTCACATGTTTAAGTAATGAAAATAAGCAAATGTTGTAGCCAGTGACCTCCACACCTGCGACCTTGACCTATCTCACTGGTAACCTCCACTCCTGCCCTATCAAACTATCTCACTAGAATGCTACACTCCTGCCATCTTGACCTATCTCCCCCTCACCACAAAGCTCAATTTCTACTCATCTCCTTGCCATCGTCTCCAACCACTCCACATCATGCTTACCCTCTCAAATCTTACACTTTTCCCCAGGCCTGACTACACCATTAGACCATTTTTCACTCTCAATGTTTCTCTCTAACTCGATTCCCCCTTTCCCAGTCCCTCCCTTAATCCCCTCTTTAGCCTAACTCCCTACTCTCGTTCAAAATACATTCTTTCTGCCCCCCCCCCCGAAACGTTACTCATCCCCTCCCTTACTATTTCAAACTGAACCCCGATCCAATTTGAATTATAAACCAGGATCTTTTGCTCCCAATAAGTTCGGTTGGCTAAAAAAAATTTAGCATAGACATTTTTAGCTTACCAATGCTAAAAATGTGACACCGCTGAAACGGGTTCGGGGAGGTTCATTTCCTTGGGTAATATGAGAGTCACTAAGACTAATAAAAATTGCCACAAAAGTTGTCAAGTAATTTTTCGCGGTGCGCAGAACGTGTGCAAAAACAAGTTTTGAATTATTTAAATCATTCGGTTTCGGCCGAAAGTCTCATTACAATTTTGTTTTCGGCTATGGTTTCGCCCGAACATCATTTTCAACTTTCGGCCTGTTGTCGGTTTCGGACGAAATCACAAATTCACTTTCGATCGGTCTCTACCTAAAGGCTAATTTTGTGAATGAATTTGGTGAAAGACGAAAAATATGTATTGTAATTTCATCCTGTGTATGTGTTTGTGTGAGTGTGTTTGTGTGTGTGTGTGTTTGTGTGTGTGTGTGTTGTGTGTGTGT